ATGACAAAATAACCTCCGATAGATTCACAGCTTTAATCACCATCCTTTTGTAGTATATGTAGCAACCGGTTATAAACAGACACACTTCTGGACAGGATTCCCAGTGTTGTCTCAGTATCATCATAACCAAAGTGTGTTACAGGCTGTAAGCTTGTCCAGATTAACCCAGTGTTGTTTCAGTATCATCATAACCAAAGTGTGTTACAGGCTGTGAGCTTGTCCAGATTAACCCAGTGTTGTTTCAGTATCATCATAACCAAAGTGTGTTACAGGCTGTTAGCTTGTCCAGATTAACCCAGTGTTGTCTCAGTGTTGTCTCAGTATCATCAGTAGCTGGATAACTTCCTGTGTGATTGATAAAGCTTGGAAACACTATCTGATATAATGAGATTAATAGGAAATATTTGGTGACATTAATGTGATTCTGTTGTAAGGTAAGATTTTCATTGGTAATGAACCACTGTTTCATAATTGAATGTTATAAAATATCATATTTTATGAAAAATGCCATTACTATTATTGAATGAATGCTTGACAGTATGATTGGTTGATCTTCTATTCTATCTAAAGTATCAAAATATTTATCATCATTTAACTTTTCTATTTTATTAATCATATTCCTGAAAGTAATGTATAATTTAGAAATTACCAATACAATTTTGATGAAATATTTTTATTGATTATTTGTCAGCATTATTGATCGCAGTATTTCCTGTAACTTAAAATGTAATTAATGAAAAAAACATGCTGTCTAATTGAGAGCCTTAAACTTTATGGAAAAAAAAGTTATGTAAGTAGTGTTATTGCTTTTTTCACATGTTGAAAAATTAATTATCGATAACTGTACAGGTAATCCTCAGTAAATAGGTGTTTTATTTCATCCTGACAACAATGATAGGCATTTTGGATATTTTTCTTAATTACTTAGTTTCTTTGATTCAGGATTATTTTAAGCCTGCATGACTTTATCCCTGTTTCCTTTGTTGTTTACATTTTAATTTTTCATTCTTAATGGTCAATCTACTACATATGTACATTTTCATGGGTGTACAATTCCACTAGACTAACTCCAGGGGCCAGTTACTAGGTTTTATGTTGGGGCATATGAACATTTTCAATACAGGTGGTGCTTGTAGAATATTTCGAAATGTGCTTGCTGGCTGGTACTGATCATGAAAGTGTTCATCCATAACTTTCAATAAAATCTTATCATTTTTCTAAAAAAAGCTTTTTGAATTTAAAAAATAATAATTACTTGGTGATTTTGTTTTTTGAACTTGATCTACAGTACTTGTTAGATGTATATCTTTGATATTAGAATGTAGGGATGATCATCCATTAAACTGACAGTACTAGATTAACAAAGGAAATTATTGATGAAAGGATATTATCACATAAATTTGCTATCACACCATTTCAATTCCAGGTAAACCTTTAAATTATATTGAGATAGCACATGTTAGTGTACTGCAAAAGCCTGTGGATACAACATCGTTTATGGAAATATAAATAAGTTAAATGAAGAGTCAATATTTACGGTGGTGGTCTCCATGGAGATGTTGGTCTAATTAATGTCGGGTTATTGATGTTGTCGGCTCTAACTATGCAATATAGATTTGACATTAAGTACACTAGGTTACCTGGCTGTGTAAAAAACATGCAAGGTACACTTTGGTTGGAACATGCTACACAGGGTCTGATAATAATTTTCGCTATGTCCAGGGATTTTACTTGCATGTGTGCCAGGGTCTGACAATATTTTTCATGGTTCTTTATATATCCATAGATTTTTTATTTTCATGATTCCCACATAAAAAAAATTCATATTTTGAGTAATACATTACATTCAAGCAGATTTCTTCTAGTCTAGCTTTAAATTTTCACCAGCCAGACTCAAAATTTACAATACTTTCAATGTTTTACAATATTATTCAGCAGACACTAAATAATTATTAATCATTGCCAACATCCATTACCTACAAATTTTTACTCACCTGGCCCCTGGAGCATCCTTGGGCAAAGGGATTTTTTTTTTTTTTTTTTATAAAAGAGTTTGTAGGGGCAGAGGGGCTGGGCCCAATAGGGGAAATTTTGGTAAATCTTCTTTTTTGTATGATTGAAGAGATTTTACCAAATTTTGCATGGAGCAACCTTGGGCTAAGGGGACTCAATATTGTTATTAACAAATTTAAAGGCTGTGGTTCACAGGGGGCAAAGGGGCGAAGCGGGGCAGAATAGGGGAAATAGTAAATATTTAAAATCATTCTTCAGTACGATTGGAGGGACAAAGGGAACTTAATTTTGTATAAATGGAAGTTTTGGCCATCCTGGGGACAGGGGGGCGATATCCAATAGGGGAAATTGAGGGAAAATCTTGAAAAAATCCTTCTCCCTCAGTACGATTAGAGGGATTTTAACCAAATTTGGTCCAGAGCATTCTTGGACAAGGGGGAACCGAAAACTTACAATGTAAAGGTTAATTATTCATTATCATTTGCTTTTTAAGATTTTGTCCATAAGTAATAGAGTAATGATTCTTTGCTATTTTCAGTATTAAAAAATTATTCTACTTTTATAAATTTTAAAAGTTTTGAATAGATCAAGCTCAGTTTTGAAGTTTTTTTTTAAAATGGATAAGTCTTTTACATAATTAAGTTTTACCACTGATATATCTTGGGCAGTAATAGCGGGTTGTGAATGTAAAGGTTCTGTGTTTTGCTCCGATTTCATATTAATTTCTGTTAACCCTTACCCTAATCTCTGTTGATGGTTATACAACATGATTGGTGACATATAATTCCTCACAATTTATGTTAAAATACATTTATAAAAAAAAATATAATTTTAATCTGGAAAAAGTCTGCTTAGTCTCATAAATTATGACTTTTCACCAGAAATTAAGTGAGCATGAGGTTAAAATTATATATGTAGTTACTGATCACGACTAAGGTTTGTGTTGTGAAATAAGTACACAGACTGTGCCAATTGTCTGGTCACAACAATAGACACAATTATAGCCATAATGGACACCACTACCTACTGTACCGCTTTATTGAATTACATGTGATCTCATTACCATTACTCACCAAAGAATTAGCCTTGGTGTTTTGTAATAGGTGTTTGCCAATACCTGTTTACTGTGCTGACGTATATACTGGACAAAATATTTAGCCGTCATTGGCAACAATAATGAATCCGAACTTAAGTGGCTTACCGGATAGGCATTCATTGAGTCCTGATATATGACGTTAACCACCCATTCAAAATGAATTGCCTAGTGTATGTACATATACTTGGATTAATTGTATTATACAGATGTACCATAGTTTAACAATAGGTCTCACATGAAGTAATGTGTTCCAAATTCAGCTAAGCTGTTAATGTTTTTTTGTCTTTTTGGGGTTAAAATTCTACACATTTTATACAAGTGTGATGTTTCTTGAAAGTATGATTACAAATATTCATTAAATGATTTAGTTTATCTCCAATATGTAATAATTGTACATCAGTTATATGCAGCTTAGTTTTAAGGTAATATTTGACATAATGCTGAATACAGCGTGAATACTATCTTGAATAATTTTTATTGTGTTTGTGGTTATGATAAACGAGGGGTTAATGACCTATGGTTGTGATAAACAACAAGGTGGCTGATGGCCTATGGTTATGATAAACAACAATGTGGCTGATGGCCTATAGTTGTGATAAACAACAAGGTGGCTGATGACCTATGGTTGTGATAAACAACAAGGTGGCTGATGACCTATGGTTGTGATACACAACAAGGTGGCTGATGATCTATGGTGTGATAAACAACAAGGTGGCTGATGATCTATGATTGTGCTAAACAACAAGGTGGCTGATGATCTATGGTTGTGATAAACACCAAGGTGGCTGATGGCCTATGGTTCTGATAATCAATAAGGTGGCTGATGAACTATGGTTGTGATAAACGACTAGATGGCTGATGGCCTATGGTTGTGCTAAATGACAAGGTGGCTGATGATCTATGGTTGTGATAAACAACAAGGGGGCTGATGATCTATGGTTGTGATAAACACCAAGGTGGCTGATGATCTATGGTTTTGATAAACGACTAGATGGCTGATGGCCTATGGTTGTGTTAAATGACAAGGTGGCTGATGATCTTTGGTTGTGATAAACAACAAGGTGGATGATGATCTATGGTTGTGATAAACAGCAAGGTGGCTGAAGATCTATAGTTGTGATAAACATCAAGGTGGCTGATCTATGGTTGTGATAAACAACAAGGTGGCTGATGCCCTATGGTTGTGATAAACAACAAGGTGGCTGATGATCTATGGTTGTGATAAACGACAATGTGGCTGATGGCCTATAGTTGTGATCAACAACAAGGTGGCTGATGATCTATGGTTGTGATAAACGACTAGGTGGCTGATGATCTATGGTTGTGATAAACAACAATGTGGCTGATGATCTATGGTTCTGATAAACAATAAGGTGGCTGAAGGTCAAAAGTCAGGCTAATGTGTAGTGTTATCAACAATCAGTGACAGTTACAGCTATTCAAGCATGTAGGTTAGTAGCAGTGGACTTCCCACCCATATAGGCTCACATCAAATGAGGTTGACATCAGTGGAAGTTATTGTGTTTGGAGGATAATTCCTTACATTTGTGCAGTGATAAAAAAACCAACACTTTTCCAAATAGGGGGAATAAAACTGCACAAGAGCAACATGCATGAAACAAATTAATTATAAAATGATAACACTTGGCATCAACACGCTGGGGGAAAATGATGCTGCAAGCTATCGTAAAGTAATTTAAAGTATGGAAAATCAGAATTTTTTAATTTTGGCATTGATTTTAATTAAATGATATGTTGTTACATGTGAACCTTATAGATTCCATGTGGTTAATACTTTAAGTCATATTTGGCCTGTTATTGTAAAGAGTATATGTAGTATTATTTTCAACACATTTGATGCTAATGTTATTTGTTTATTGATATGTTTCAGATAGGAGAGTGATGCTTAGATGCCAAGCCTCAGAATGGATTCACGGTATCAAGCTATACCAGGCTCAGCCTTCCCTGCTAAAGACATGTTGTCTTGGATGAATTTAGATGTTAGTCCTCCTTAAATCAACCAAGTGAAACTTCTTGTTAAAGAGTCAGCAGTGTAACTGTTAGAATTTTGATACTTGAAAGATATCTAAAACTTCTTTCACGATGAATATCAATAGATTGCTTAGAAAACGTTTTCGGATCATCCGCCTCCTGGTTTTATTGAGTGTGTTCTTTATCGGTTATCTTGGAGCAGTGTTTAAAGTGAATATTCCATTTAAGAAGGAAGAAACCCTAAATATTCTAATGAAAGATCCTGGAGGTCAGTACCTGTCTAGGAAACTGCAAGAAGCAAACGACACCACATCAGACTCTGGGTCATTGTACCCCCCAGAGATATTCACTGATGAGCAGTTAAAACACGGGGCAGTCTGTTGCCATGTAGTGGGCATGATATATATGTTTGTGGCCCTAGCCATTGTCTGTGATGAGTTTTTTGTACCATCCTTAGGCTGCATAACAACAAGGTTGAAGATTTCTGAGGATGTAGCTGGAGCAACGTTTATGGCGGCAGGCGGAAGCGCTCCAGAATTGTTCACAAGCTTAATTGGAGTGTTTCTGTCAAAAAGTAATGTTGGTATTGGCACAATAGTGGGATCTGCTGTTTTTAACATTCTTTTTGTGATTGGAATGTGTGCACTGTGCAGTAAAGACGTGTTGACACTAACATGGTGGCCACTGTTCAGGGATGTCACGTTCTACAGTGTAGATCTCCTTTTGTTAATTGCATTCTTTTTAGATGGAACAATTTATTGGCACGAAGCACTTATTCTACTTTTTGGATATTTTGCATATGTTACTTTTATGAAATTTAACGAAACAATTGAAAGATTTGTGAAGTCCAAATTACGGAAAGGATCGAACAAAGTGGGAAGTGCCAGTCATCTTTTAACAGAGGTAGGTATTTTCATTGTATTAAAAGGCTTTAAAAAGACCAGTTATTACGTGGGGCATGTGTTACAGCTTATTCTCTCATTCCTGTGCTTGTTAATATAATGACAGAACTATCCAGGTCAAGAAAGAGGAGTAAGAAATTCTGACCTACATTCCATTTTACGTAAGTGACCTCACAATGTGACAAGAATGGTGTGATGTCATGAAATTGAAAACATTCTGATGTTTGAATGGGGAAACTATAACACTCATTTTGCTTTCAAATTTGAATGAAAACTCCTTCATGTCAAGCATTGTAGGATATGGTAATTCTACCATAGGGCTTTTCAAATTTTTGGAAAACCCTCGGCAGGCCTTTGGTCAGACCCAATTTGAAAACCCCTTGGGTGGAATTTCCCTATGCTACACCCCTTGGCATGAAAGACCATTTGTCAGCCTAATGGACTGTATGGTGTTTCCTATAAGAATGGAAGTAATATTATCAACTGGGAATATTGAACCAAAATCTGGTCACAAATGATATAGATTTCTAAGAATCAAGTTCAATGTATTTGATTATCCTAGTTATATTGATAGTCCCCCAATCTGATATTTTTCGGCCACTGACTTCTTTACTTTGCAGAACTTCAGTCGACTGATCAGGATCAGACTCTGTTCTATGCTGTGATAGCCAAAATGCAATACCAAATGTTTATATGATTGTGACCATCCTGACTCTTTGAACTAAATAAGGGTTAGATTCATACCTACAACAGTAATCTACCTGTCATTGTCAACTTCTAAAGTTCTATCACAATGATATGAACCTCTCGTAGACTTCATTTATATTGATTATTATAGATTTTCATTTTAAACAAAGAACTTAATTTACCATAAACCTTCTTTTGACTTTTTCTTAAATTGATTGGATGACTTTAAATTCGTTAACAAGTCTTCATTTTGGTGCAGCGTTTTTAACTGACAACGAATTAGCAATCAATTTGGAACATCTGACATTCAATCTTGAATATTTGACTCATTCCTAGCACTAATGTGTGGTATGGGATTGGTATATTATTCAGCCACGACGCCGACAGATTGGATAAACCGTACTAGTGGGTAACACTCTGGATGTTATTTCATTGGTCAATTTTTAGCTCACCTGGCCCGAAGAACCATGGTGAGCTTATGCCATACCGCAGCGTCCGGCGTCCGGCTGGCAACTTTTTCTTTAAAATGCTACTAGTCCTGAACGGCTAAGTAGATTTTGACTAAATTTGGTCTGGAGCATCCTTAGGCCAAGGATACTCAATTTTGTATAAACAGTGGGTGTGGCCCCCCTGGGCCTTTAAAATTCTTCTTCTACCGTAGGGTTTAAGGGAATTTATCCTAAATTAGTTTGGAGCATCCTTGGGCCAAGGGGACACAATTTTGTATAAACGGTTGGTGTGGCCCCCCCTGGGGGCAGAGGGGCGGGACCAAACAATGGAAATAGAGGTAAAACCTTTAAAATTCTTCTTCTACCGTAGGGGTTAAGGGATTTTATCCTAAACTAGTCTGGAGCATCCTTGGCCCAAGCAGACACAATTTTGTATAAACGGTAGGTGTGGCCCCCCTGGGGGCAGAGGGGCGGGGCCAAACAATGGAAATAGAGGTAAAACCTTTAAAATCCTTCTTCTACTGTAGGGATTAAGAGATTTCAGTCCAATTTAGTCTCGAGCATATTTCGGCCAAGGGGACTCAATTTTGTATAAACGGTGGGTGTGGCCTCCTTGGGGGCAGAGAGGCAGGGCTGAATAGGGGAAATAGAGGTAAAACCATTAAAATCCTTCTTCTACCGTAGGGATTAAAGGATTTTATCCTTATTTAGTCAGGAGCATACTTGGGCAAAGGGTACTCAATTTTGTATAAACGGTGGGTGTGGCCCCTTTGGGGGCAGAGGGGCGGGACTGAATAGGGGAAATAGAGGTAAAACCTTTAAAATCCTTCTTCTACCATAGAGATTAAAGTATTTTATCATAAATTAGTCTGGATCATCCTTGCATCTTGGTCTTGGTTTGGCCCCCGTGGGGGCACAGGGGCGGGGCCCAATAGGGAAAACATAGCAAATTCTTCAAAATCCTTGTCTTTTTGTAGGAATGACAGGATTTTTTCCAAATTTGGTATGAAGTATCCTTGGGTGAAGGGAAACCAATTTTGTATAAATGGTGTGTCTGACCCTCCTGAGGGCAGAGAGGCAGGGCCAAATAAGGGATATAGAGGAATAGCTTTAATATCCTTTTTACTCTGTTAGGATGAAGGTATTTTGACCAAATTTGAACAGAAGCATCCTATGGGGAAGGGAAATCAATTTTGTGTAAATGGTGTGTCTGAGCCCCCTGGGGCCTGAAAGGTGGGGCCCAAAAGAGGTAATTTAGCAAATTCTTGAAAATTCTTCTTCTGTAGCAATAACAGGATTTTGTCCATATTTGGTCTAAAGCATCATTGGGTATAAAGGTGACCCAATTTTGTATGAAAGGTGGGTCTGATCCCCCTCGGGCAAAGGGGTGGGGCCCAATAGGGGAAACATAGCAAATTCTTAAAAATCCTTCTTTTCCTGTAGGAATGACAGGATTTTGTCCATTTGCATATAAATATAACCCCTGACTAACCATGTAATACATGTACACAACCAGCAACATCTAGCTATTCCAACTTCAATTTTACTGACATTTCCAGGTGAGCGATACAGGCCCTCTGGGCCTCTTGTTAATAGGATGTCAAGTAACAAATTTTACGGCGTCATATTCTTTTGTGACGTCACATATGTAATTCATTGCGATTGTTTCCCTGAGTGGAAAACGGAATAATGTTATCGCAAGAGAAACATATTGTTGTGAGAGAAAAAGGTGCCCAAACCAGTGATGGTTGCAATTGGTTTTCTTGTTTATCTTAATCTTGTTAGACAATTTTCAAATTGTAATGGACAATCGGTAAACCTTGGGATACAACTTCTCTATTCAGCTGACACACTGTCGGAGGGGAATGTAGTTGAAGGATACATTCTCTTACACAATAGAGCCTCACTTGTGTTTCTGTGAAGACAAATTTCTGAATGGATGATTATTGTCACTGTTGGATAATTCCAACACAATATGAGTTTTCCAGATGTTGTCCTGATTATCTGATTGTAAATAACCATGGCTACTACAAGCATGCTGACAGGCAATGCATTAATCATTTCTGAAAGTAAAAAGACTATACCCAAAATATCTTTCATCCATCATCACCCTTTAATTTCTGGTACATAATAATAGGTCATGAAAAATTGACATTGAAACTCAATAATAACTGGATTTTAGCAGTTTAAGAAAATAGGATTGTGTCACCATTTCTCAGTAGATTTTTTTTTAAATTTGTAGTTATGTTGCTTTGAAGTAAAGAAAATTTTCTGCCACAAAAAAAACATAGGTTGTCAATAACAATGATACTGACATAGATTAGTATTGCATTAATGTATATATCAATTTAATAAATGCTGAAATTTGTTCCTGTATCATATCTTAGGGGAAGCTTGTTCTCAAACCAGCTTTACAATTTGGCCCAGTTTCTTAGAAATTTGACTTGTCTGTTTTGCAGATTTATTATGTTTGGTTTTACGAACAGTACTGATTGGATGATTTGATAATTTAAGGAAAAAAATCCAAGCTTCTTTCCCAGCCATATGACTATAAAATGGCTGCAAATTTTGTTTTTCTTCAAACTTGAATTATGATTGAAGATTGATAGTCCGATATGTTTCCACTTTCATAATTTCCTTTGTGATGAACATGTTTAAGATTGGCAGATGACCTGTACTGTTTCACCTGTAGGTTTTTGTGTAGTTCATTCATATTCATTGTAGATGTTTTGGGTACACAAATGACCATACAATTTGTTGTTTACCATGGTAACAGGTCCAGAGAGTTTGCTGCTGTAGATAAACTTGAGCATGAATAGCTTGAACCTGGTGCCGTTATACATAATTAATACTTATTGGAATACTGTAACATCATACACAGTTTATGTCGAATCACTGGTGTGTTGTTCTAGACTGCAGTGTGTGATAAACTGAACAGAATCTATTTTAATTTACATAATTAACCAACAAGTGAAAATGACAAATTAACTCAAAACAAATTATGATAGAACATTGATTAATCCTCACGGTATTCAACCCTGCTCTATATATAAGTTAAGCTATTTCTAGATTTGAAGAGTTCTATATTGGTATTGAAGTGATTACAATAAGTTGAGCTAGTAGTAAGAATCTTCAGATTGTCATTAATTTATTGGAACTTTGTGCAAAACTCTTAATACATATCTATAGGTTTGTGTTGAGCAGCAGAGTGGAAGTCATGTAAGCATTATAATGATGTGTTGCCGTTATTGATTCACTACAAGAAGTTTGACAGATCAGGTTTGGAGGGAATGCATGTATTAGGATTTCCTCCTTCCAACCTGATAGGCAGAGTGCTGAAGTCGTTTAGGAAGTATCGTTGCTCTCTCCTTCTGATAGCTCCCTTTTGGACAAGGAAGCCTTGGTTTCCTAAGTTGTTGTCGCTCCTGGTTGAAGAGCCCCTGGCTCTCCCTGTAAGGTCGAATCTCCTTCGGCAACCTTGGTCCAGGGCGGTACTCTCTCATCTGGATATCCCTCACCTTCACATGTGGAGGCTATCTCGGGAGGCCCCACTCAGACAGTCTATTCTCAGGATGTGTCAGTCCGCATCTGTAGATTGGTAAGGTCTTCCTCTTCTGAAGGGCCAAGTGAGCTTATGGCATGGTCCGGTGTCAACTTTTTACTTTAAACAACTTCTTCTCAGTAACCAAAAGGCCTAGGGTGATGATATTTGGCCAGAAGCATGCTTGGATAAAGGGCTACCAAGTTTGTTCAAATAAATGACCTTCATCAATTTTCAAGGTCACAGGAGTCAAATATGTTAAAATCTTTTAAACAGTTTCTTCTGAATAACCCAGAGGCTTAGGGTGATGATAGTTGGCCAGTAACATGCTGGGATGAAGGGCTACCAAGTTTGTTCAAATAAATGACCTTGACCCACTTTCAAGGTCACAGGGGTCAAATATGTTTAAAACCTTTAAACACCTTTTTCTGAATAACCGAGAGGCCTAGGGTGATGATATTTGGGTAGTAGTATGCTGGAATGAAGGGCTACCAAGTTTGTTCAAATAAATGACCTTGACTTATATTCAAGGTCACAGAGGGCAAATATGTTTTAAACATTTAAACAACTTCTTCTGAATAACCAATAGGCCTAGGGTGATGATATTTGGCTAGTAGCATACTGGGATGAAAGGCTATAAAACTTGTTCAAATGAATGACCTTCATCTTTTTTTAAGGTCACAGGGTCAATTATGTTCTAAACCTTTAAACAAATTCTTCTAAATAACCAAAAGGCCTAGAATAATGCCAGTAACATGCTGGGATGAAGGACTAACAAGTTCAAATGAATGACCTTGACATATATATTTTAAGGTCACAGGGGTCAAATATGTTTAAATCTTTTAATAGGTTCTTGTGAATGAAACACTGATATTTTGCCTGTAGCTATATTTTAGTCCACTTTTAAGATTACAAGGGTGAGATTAATACCAGGTGAGCGATGCAGGCCCATTGGGCTTCTTGTTCCATAAGAAATTTAGTGGTTATACCTCACAATGTATTTATATTTCAGAAACCTCAGAGATCCATGAGTCTATCCATATTGCATTCCGGGGGCAACCGTTACAGACATGGGATCCTGGACCTTATGATACATACAATTGACCCCCTGCAGAATGGTAAGTCAAGTAAGGAAAATAGCGGAACAAGTCTGGGTCAGGGCAATCACCAGTGACCAGACTGCTGCATTGGTTATAATTAGAGCACCGGTCTAGAGTTTGGCAGTTCTATTTGATTCCCAGTCTTGCCGTTGTACCTTCTGTTTCCTCTGCTAGGGATCCAACCTGGGATGTCTGGTTTGATCCCTGGCAATGAGATATGAGATAATTAAAGAGGACTCCCTAGCCAAGTTTGTAGGAAGTGGCTTGTATTCTACAAGGGGGACATACCTAAATTTGTTCTGAGGTGGACTATTGTTTACTTGCAATATGTAATTGCTTTCTTGTTTATACATATTATAAGACATACACTTTTAGTAGAACCTAAATTGACATCATCACAAATATGTACCAGGTAAAAAATAGTCAGTTAGTGAATTTAATTCACTGATAAGTGAAAATGTCAATATGCAATCCATAGACTTTTGAGTTATACTGAATAATCTATTGAATCTATTTTATTTATATCAACTGCCTGTATATGAATGGAATATTTTGCTTGTTAATAAGACTTTTGTTTCTATAATATACATGTTTGATTATTAACTCATTCTCTGAAAAAATGAAAAAAATAATGGTACAGTGCATCATTGAAATTTTAGGGAAAATGTACATGATCAGATTATTTTAAACCATGAAGTAGATGTTAGTAAGATTTTGTTTGTTAAATTGTTCTATTTTCTCCACATACCAGTACACAAAACCAGATGTAAGCAAACTTCTGTGTTACCTCTTTTGTTTTAATGTTACTGTTTATTCTGGATTTGTTGAATTTAAATCAGTTTATTTTCAGTGTTTGAGTTGAAATTTCAATGAAAAAAGTAATATCTGTTGATATAGGAAAGTGAAATAAATGTGAAGATTGCCTGAAAATGTACTCAAGGCATACTTAAAAAGTTGTGTTATTAAAGACTAACTCAATATTAATTACTGCGGGGTATATAGGACTTATCAAGAGTTAAAATATCTTGTTCCTGTGGTTGTTTTTTTAGCTCACCTGGTCTAAGGGACCGATGAGTCATACAGCATGGTTAAATATCAACCTTTCAACCTTTTACAACCTTGCTCTTGGTGCCTGATTGGCAGGCCAAATATATAGATGAATTACAACTTAAAAAAGAATATTTCTTTTGAATAGCCGAATACATTTCTAGCAAATCTGGCTTTCGACATAAGTAGAACAAGGGAATCAACTGTTGTTTAAATAAAGACTTTGCCATGGTAATCATTTAATATTGCAATCCTATTTTGTATTTTAAATGAAGATGATAAAATCTGTAGGGCCAGAGGAGCGAGGCATACATTTGGCCAAGAAAACAGTAAAAGTGCATCTTCTGAAAGACCACATGAATCACTGAGACATGGAAAATGAGATTCTGTATAAATTAAGTGCCACAATTGGGGCTATTGGGGCAGGATCTGAAATGGGAATATAGTGCATTTTTTCTTCAATATCTACTGGTACAAAATGGTGGCATGAATTGCCACTTTGTGGTTGAAATATCAAAAAGACAAGATGATCGATTGCATTTTGTATAAATGAAGTTCAGGTTGGATCATTTTGGTCACAGGGCGGGGTCTCATGCAGGAATTTCAGATTAATTTTCTTCTTGCTCTTTCTTTTTCATTGTTTTCCAAGGCATCCATTCTTCATAAGATAAAAACACTTTTCAAAAAAGTTACTTTATAATCACATACACATAATGGGCATAAAGAGGTAAATGCATCCATGCTCCCTGAATAAGCTTGGGGTACAGTCCAACCCAAGGGGCTTAACCCAGGGGTCAAAACATGAAAAAAGGTTGATATTTGTACCTTTAAACATACAATTATGCAATTACTAGAATGAAGAAACATTAACACCGTTATGCTGACAGGATTGGCCTATGAGTCTGGCCTTTGCAGAGTTTAGTTCCTGGGTTTATGGAAGTAATTGAGATCCTAAACCTATAATAACTGTTGATTAAGGTCTGGCCCCATTTCTGCAGACTTAGTCCAAAGCTTATGTCAGAAAAATGATTGACATCCTCATACTATAACACATTCAAACACCAAAATTTCAATCAAATTTTCTGTGAAACATCCTCTGTTCTTGGGATCTCATTTATCTAAAGGAAGAGTGTATCTCCTCTGGGTGCTGAAGTTTAGATCATAAAGAAACAGGTGAGAGATACAAGTTATATCTATAGACTTTTTGTTTTTTCTGTTTACAAATTCTGAAGAATAAAAATAATTAAACACCATTGTCCTTACCTTTAACACTTGTTGACGTACACATTTTACTAGTTGTAATAGATTAAGGACTTTCGCTTTTTCAAACATGGTTCATAATCATCTTTGAGTTGTGCTGTCTATGTCTTTAAATAATTTACATTGCTTACTCAAACATTTTAAGAATTTGATACTTAAAAATTCAAATAATTGGATAAATCCTGGGACAAAAACCATTCCTATATCTTGCTTTAAACTGATTTAGTTTCTTTGTTGTTTTGTTTTCAAACTTTAAAATGATTGACTGTTACTTTATCTGGTAGATTGTTATCTTGATTACTTGTTAAAAGTTGCATGATAACAATGTGCGTAATACCCAACTCTTTGAATTTCGAGCTAGTGTGATTTGGGTTAATATAGTGCTGGGGAAGTTGGGGGTTGGGGATGTTGGAAGGTGGCATATACTCTGGAACAATTTGAATTTCTTTGCCACATCCTGCAGATCACTAAACAAAAATAAAAGTTGAACTTAAATATGAAGCTTTTGTGGCTTAATTTGATGACTTATGGGTATTAAGCATTGGATACATGCTTGTCTTTCACCAAGACGACTGGGATTTGATTCCCCAATTGGGTGTGAAAGGTTTGGTTATTTGGTGAACTGTTTGACCACATGGGTTTTTTCATGTACTCCTGTCTCCCCCAACAACCCATAAATATGTGCTACAATCTGGGCCAGCAGAAGTTGATAGAACTTGTTCCATAATTGTTGTACACTGTACAATAAATAATTACGTTCTTAACAGTAGCTCTAAAGCTTAGGTTTGTTGCACACTAAATGGTAAGCATTATAATAACCAGACTGAGACCAGATATCCCTGTATCAACATATCATCATGTCTACTTTAGTGACACACATTCTGATACAGTGCATTGTATTGCCGTATTATGATATATTTGCTGGCTCATTATACAAAACACATGTGAGAAAACTACTTTACAACCGGCAGTTATCATCTTAAGACTCCTCAAACATTCTGTTTAGAGCTTCATAAAGCATTCCAGTTACGGATTTACTGCCATTGGGTAAGACATTCTGGTTAGAGCTTCATACAGCATTCCACTTACGGATTTACTGCCATTGGGTAAGACATTCTGTTTAGAGCTTCATAAAGCATTCCAGTTACAGATTTACTGCCATTGGGTAAGACTTTCTGTTTAGAGCTTCATAAAGCATTCCAGTTACGGATTTACTGCCCTTGGGTAAGACATTCTGTTTAGAGCTTCATAAAGCATTTCAGTTACGTATTTACTGCCATTGGGTAAGACATTCTGTTTAGAGCTTCATAAAGCATTCCAGTTACGGATTTACTGCCGTTGGGTAAGACATTCTGTTTTGAGCTTCATAAAGCATTCCAGTTACGTATTTACTGCCATTGGGTAAGACTTTCTGTTTAGAGCTTCATACAGCATTCCAGTTACGGATTTACTGCCCTTAAGTAAGACATTCTGTTTAGAGCCTCATAAAGCATTCCAGTTACAGATTACTGCCATTGGGTAAGACTTTCTGTTTAGAGCTTCATACAGCATTCCAGTTACGGATTTACTGCCATTGGGTAAGACATTCTGTTGTAGAAAGGACTCACCAATGACTGCAGGATTAAAAACAACAGTGTTCTCCCCAGAATTGTTTTGATGCGCTATGGCATCTACATTTTAACCCTTCCGTCACAGCGCGGCGCTGCCAACCATTTCCATGTCGCAAACCATAATTCGTGCGCAACGCAACTTTGAGAAAGAAAACTAAACAAGAGTAAGAATTGATGTACTTAATTCTAAATAAATAGCGTTACTTAATAATCTTGACATTGCATTATTATTGCACATTTCCTTGCCCTTTACTTTTTCATCCACATTTTTTTTATACCTACTATCATCTTAAAAATAAATGAATATGTGTCTGAGGATAAATAAATTATAATAACATTCAAACCAAAGGTATATATTTTGACACATTATTAATTAATTTTGAAATCAAAGATTTATTTTGAAAATTCAATTTAAAAAAAAAATCCCTTAGTTATGAAATTAACCAGCCCAGCTACCTGTTATCATTAGGTAAAAAAAAAAGAGAAGAAAATGCCGTTTTCAATGTAAACTTAAATATAATGATACAGTTATCAAATTGAATTATTGTAATTATCCAGTAAAAGTAGTATATTATTGTAACTTTGGCACCAAAATGATAAACGGTCCTCGTCCATGTTTCAAAAGCCATTGCATCATTCATAGATTACGTAAGATTATTCAGGTTATCAAAACAACATGGCCGCCACGTGCAGTCTGCTCATTTACAATCTATCTTACGGTAACAAAATTTATTTCAAATTTTCTAAAAGTTGTATGAGCAGGCATTTGTTGATAAAAACTTCTCACATAGATATCTTTATTCAAGCATTAACATTTGATGGCCGAAAACAATGCAGCAAAAGGTAGGTCAGCAGACGTTTGCCATTTTACTGAATACAAAGTTGGTCTGTCCGAACTTCTGTGTTTGTATTTCTTATTTTGGTGTAATTGCCAGTCACATATGAAAATCAGAACGTAGATTGAAGCCTTGATAATTAACAGACATCATTAATTATAATTAGACGAATTACACGCTGGTAATCGTGGTCCCCTATTGTTCACGTTTCACACCTATAGGTCATTCACATCCCACGGCACAGGTAATTCTACCCGCAGGGCAGAGTTAGTTGATCAGGCTAACTTGTGTCAATCGTAGGGAACAATAAAAGCTAGTCTAATGAGGGTGAGTCTGATAGCATGCGTAATGGCTCAAAATTCATGCGTAACGGTACTGTTACGCTAAAACAGCCTGGGGAGAACACTAAGCATGGTATTGATTTCCGGAGAAACTGAACGTGTTTAACATGACTAATGTGTTATATTGTAAGAAAACTATCAAGTTGTGCTGTATTAGTGTATCGTCCAAGTAATAACACTATTTCATACATTTGAAGCCCATTTCATAACGAAATCATATATAATGGGATTTTTTGTATATTCTGGACCTATGTAAATTACACAAAATAGGTTATGATATTTTTGACAATTTTCAGCAAAAGTTCACGAAAATGCCATGAACCTACATGCTATAGCCACCCTGAAAGTGGTAATTGGGACAACCACCCCCACACAGAATGAGGAGGACAGTCCTGTAGCCAACGGAGTAGATAAAGATAACAACAAAGTTCAGTCCAATGGACATGTTGCAGTAGAGAACGGCAAGCCAGCTGATGACACAAGTGCCCCAGAGAATTCCAATAATGTTAGTGATTCCTTACCAGAGGTCACTATAGCACCAGTCGAAGATGGACAAAATGCTGAAGTAAGTAGTCAGATCACTCATTGACAATTGATGAAGTAATAATAATGATTGAAAATTGTATTTTAATTGTATTATATCAATCATAGAGTATTAAGAAAGATTGTGTTTAAGTTTAAGTGGCATAGTAGACCATTTTTAAACTGGCAATAAGGTATTATATCAAAAAAAACCACAAGCAACGTAGCCTCTCCAGATAGAAAGTTACCAAACTCCATGTGCTGTTACATCTATTGGTGAAGGTGTGCTTTGCACAATGAGTGTTTTTCAGAGTGACTGATGTTTTCAACTCCACAACTTCCAATACTTATTTTGCCAGTTGATTGCTAGAGTAACAGGCTATATTGTCACTCTACACCTTACAGGTGATATTAATAATTCAATAAAAACTACTTGACTTGATTACTATCAAGTTTGTCAGATAAATCTGATTTGACCTATAGCTATGTCAAACTGGGTATCTTGTTAGTCCACCCAGTCAGAAGGACCAAGTGAGTTAGGGTTAGGGTTAGCCTCTGGTTTAACTTTTCCTTTAAGGTCCCCTTTTTCTCAAGAACTAAAGAAATTCTGGCTAACTTTGGGGTGGAATAACCTTGGGCTAAGGGAGTTCAACATTTTACAATTCAGGGTGTGACACAAAAGCTTGAAAAAAATGGCTTAATGCTTGATGGTTCGGAATCCAGGGCAATATAGCTTCACGATGAACTAGCCTTACCCACATACCAGTCTGAAAGCTTATCTCCCAATCAATAGTGTCCTAATGCCAGCCTTAGGCAGGGTTTCTTTCATTCAAATATATTGGTTTGACAAGTTATAACAGGGATTCCAGCATTACTGCTGCTGCAATTTAAACATTATTGATTACAATGTTATATTGATTATACCCCGCAACGAAGTTAGGGGGGGGGGGGGGGATTACTGGAATCACCCTGTCTGGATGTCTGTCTGTCATCCGCAGTAACTTGTCCGGAAAACTCCTCCTTAATTAACAACTGGATTTCATTGAAACTTTGCATGAATGATCAGTATCTTATGTAGTTGTGCACCGGCATTTTAACTCATTCACCCCTGAAGACACATTTGAACTCTTCCAATTCAAAGGATGGCATAGTTCATTATGAAATTTCAAGGGTAAATGAGTTAATTTGGGATTTCGACCCTTTTTGATGTAGGTATGCCCCTTTATGTGAAATACTTGTTTATTTTTTTGTTATTTTATTTTTTTGTTTTTAATAAAATAGTGATTACCATAACTCATTACTGGTGGGAGACTATATTGCTTTGCATAAGTAAGCCTTTAGCGTACAGTTCTGGTTTATATAGGAGCGGGGGTATTAGTTAGCCTTTGGCTTACAGTTCTAGTTGGCTTTGTTATTGTTTACATGCGTAACAGCGACAAAAACCTTGACAACTGTTGTGTTTTTTATGATTTGTGAAAAAAAAGTCATTATGTGTTGATCAAAAGCCACATCGATATAAACAATTTTCTTACAGACCTGAATAAGATGAAGGACAGCTTTTGATCTGTAGGTCGCAGTTTGGATTAATTAACAGTTTTTATGTGCCATCAGCGGAGACATTAAGCATTACTCTTGGGACACAAATCATGGCCAAAACGTCGGGGTTTCACACTTCCACGATGCCAATGAAGTGGAGGCTACTAGATGTAAACATTGGGTTAAAAATTGTGCAAAATATATACATATTTAGGGTAACAGTTGAATTGAAAGTAAAAAATAACACAACATAATTTCAACTGGTTTTAATGAAAAAATCTGTAAGGAACAAACGGCTACAACATAAATAGACACAAAAATTATGATGTCCATCCTCAAACTATTGTGTAGATCACAAAAAAGTAGTAGATCACAAAAACAGTACACATCGAAAGTCAGGTGAAATCCCAGGAATAGAGAATGTTATTTTTCAACATATCTTTGTCCTGTGCAAGTTTTTGTGAGAATGACATCAGCCAGTTCACATTAACAGCTTGATTGTAAAAAGCCTCCTGTTTACTTTGACATCAGTGACCTCCTGACCTTTTCTGTCTGTGTTGACCTGACTTTAATAATATGCTAAATATGTCCTGTCCCACGCTACCATTCTGTGGCACTGAGTATTATTTCTTATAGGTGGAATCAGTGGTATCTATCTGTTAATTCCTTCAAAAGAATTATCATTTAAATATAGTGTTTTTCTCAATCATGTTGTCTAGAGCCATTATTGTAATAGGATTGGAGAACTTTCACACTTATCTGCTGCGGTATGGTCTGGCTCTGGCCCAGCAACCAATCAATAAAGTGAAATTATATTAGGCTAATACTGACATATTTAAACCCAATTTGGCTACTGGAGTTGCCACTCCATTGATCCTGCTTTTCCTAGTGATATAGCAGTAGATGTATTGGATTCCTGGTGCTGGTGTGACTGCAAAGAATGCAACAAGCCTATCACTGATATATAGCATGATAGAAGGCTTGCCATTTGTAACATGTTAGATGTCAGATGAAATCTTCCTGATGATATTAGAGTTGAAATTAATACAATCCATTTTTAAGAGAAGAATACTATATAAAGTGCCAAGCTTTTATTTCCCAATATTGAGTGAAACTGTAATGGAACATGTAGACTAAAGTTCATTAATAAACAACCTTCCTCAGTACAACCATTCTGCTTTTGAAGAAACGAGGATAAAATTGTATCATTTTATCAATTGTTAATTTTTATCTGATTGTTGTAAAATGGAAATTTGTACCCTATTTGCCCTTCAGAAGAAGTCAAATTTGAAATAGGATGAAAATCATATGATATATACAATTTATTTAAATAGCAAAAATATTAAGCAAATTAAACAGTGGGTCGTTGTGTCTTAAAATGTCAGAGGGTGAAAATTCAAGGAGGCAAAATATTACATCTGTGGAGCAACAATGTCCAGCCACCTTTGTTCCCAGCAAAAGTATGTGGGCTGTTAGACTGCTGGATAACTTGGGCAACTTGATGTAGAAAGCCAATCTATTCTCTAAAACACAAGTTAGAGTATGCGACACCCAGATTAGTGGTGGCAGTATTAACTCAGGGACAACTTTATATAGAAAGCCAATCTATTCTCTAAAACACAATTTAGAGTATGAGACACCCAGATTAGTGGTGGCAGTATTAACTCAGGGACAATTTTATATAGAAAGCCAATCTATTCTCTAAAACACAA